AGCCCAAGGCACGACCGCCTCCGCAGCCCGAAAGACGACGAGCTCGGAAAGCAGCGAAAACGCTCAGATTGCCTCCACAACATGCCCCGAGCCAGCCTTTCGGCCTCGGACTACAAGCAGCAATAACAACAAACAAACAAACAAAGCTATGCCTGAAATGGTAAAGCAAGCCTTTATGTATAGAAAAATTTCTATTGCGGGCCCTTGTGTGCATCTACTAGGGAAAAACTTCCTTTAGGGAGGAAAAACACTTCACATTTTACTCTGTGGTAAACACAAGCATGCTAGTGTGGCTGCTAGAGAATTATTTTCTGCAAATTCAGTAAAAGCACACTCCAAAGCAGTATTCGAAATCAGTCTCTTTTCACCACCTATTTGATTCCTGTGCTTTGCTTCTCTATGAAGAAGCATATCTTTCTTGTGAGATGAAGCCTTGAAGCTTCCTGCAGGAATATTTTTCAGTGTTAACCTAGTCCCTGTTGGCACCAGGAAAAGGGGGTGGGGGGAGGTAGGAAATACAAGTCTGAAACACTTTGAAAGACATGCTTAATTATCCTTGCTAAACACACCTGTCTTCTGTCCCAACAAGTGTTGTGACACAGCTATGGCTTGCAATAGTTAACACGTTTTAGATGTAATATTTAATACAGCTAAAGAAATTTAGCTGGATTCTCACTAAAAGAGCTGATGGGTGCTTAAGATCTGTCAGATATCTAAATTTGTATTCTGTTTTTATGACTACAGCTCAAAGTAAAGGGGGGAAGGCTGAGGGTTGCTTTTACTTGTTTCGGAACAGCTGAAAGTAGTTTAAGAGGAACATTCAGTATACATTGTTCATTAACAAACCACCACATTCCCCAGATCAAAGCTATATTGCTATTTGTGTTCATGAGAACACAAGCATTTGACCTAATCTCATTGCATCAATGTTACTGGAAATCTGTAGCAGAGCCAGCGAGTATTAAGTAGAAACCTTCCAACCAACTCCAAAAAGAAAAATTCCACAAAACTCATTTTAACAGGAATAAATTTATATTTAATTTACAAAACAGCATCTCTATGGACATGATGAATTGGAGGTGTTATCTGTGGAACATGCACATACCAAAAGCACTGGGTCCTTCCTATTCATCCTTCCAGGTTAACGTCCAACTAATTGCTCTTTCTCCATAGATATGAATTACTCTCGGTTCATCACCTCTGTGAGTGCAGCAAGAAAAGCATCTCCAATAAGACTTCTAAGTGAGTAGACCCCTGTTCTTTACAGGTTCCCTTGAAGAGTATCATCCTGCCTTCTGGATTTTGTTAAGACATCACAACTAAATACCAGAGGAGGCTCAAGAGAAAGTCATGCAGTAAGCTGACAAGTATTTGCAAGGCCAGTTTAACTGCCTTGACTTTTGCAAAGTTGAGACATCAAGCAGGTATAAAGATGAATAAAATTAATAGCCTTGAGCTGTTACAGAAACCCATCCAGACAGAAGAAATAACATTGTTTTCATGCACCTGAAAAATCTCTGCTGTTGCCTCTGAAGTAGAGCTTTTGCCATAGCTCGCTACTAAATGTACACAGGTTGTTCAGAAGCAAGCAGCTAGCTGCTAATAACTTTATCATCAGTCCCAGCCAAATATTTCTGTCCACATAGCTTTTCTGTACCCTATTGATGTCCATATTATTCCCCAGCCCAGACAATGTTACTATGCTTTTCTATATCATGCTGCTATCCATAGACTATTGTATATATTCTTCTGAGTCACACAAAAAAGTTGAACTGTCTGCTTATATACTTAGTTAAAACCTACAGGGACCTGACAGAATCAGAGCATGAAACATACTACTGGTTAAGCCTTTACCAGAGATCAGTTTCTTCTCTTGGCAAGGGGCTGGCATTTGCTATTCTGTTTGAATGCTTCATACAGGTACAGATTAGTCAACTTTAATTCACGTTAGTTACTCTTTATTTACCTTTTTAAAAGTGATACATTGATATGTGTTGTAATACAAACATTAAGTAACTTGGCTTATGCAGAAAGACGTGCATTGAAACTGCAGTTTTGATGACACAGCAAGTCTTTCTGCTAGATCAAAAGTCACAGGCATGACGCACATTTCTGGACTGATACAAGTTCATTCCCTATGCTCAAATTTGCTAATAAGTAGTGGAAAATAAACTTGATCCCAGAAGGCTTTAAACCACATGTGTTATCATCTGTCCTCTCACATCTAGTAGAAAAAGCATTCAGCCAGCATGAATGCCATATTGTGAGCTATTAGACTCAATGCAGTCAAGTGCCCTTGCCTGATTGAGCTCTGCTCTCTGCTGCCAGCAGAGCATAGATTGCATCTGAATGATTATGAAACTGTGACATTAAAGCACGAGTTATCAACATTTTCTTCACAGTGCCGGTGCCACTAAAGCTGTGCTGCCAGAGATGCTCCCACTCCCTTATAAAAAAGGTTATCATTATGGATGTTACTAGTTGAGGTCACACCACTGCCTCATCAGCTAGAAGAGCAAGGCTGCACATAAAAACAAAGCCAGTCATTTGAAATATCAGTCTAAACAGAATATCATTAAGATAATAAATTATTGAAGCTTAAAGGTATAAATCACCAAAAAGGTCTGTGCTAATAAAAGCGCAATTCACACAAGGTAAAAACTATTTAAAATTTATTTTAAAACAAAGGATTTTTTTGCAAAGGTAATTTTGTTAACGTCTTTTTTAATCCAAGTAGAAAGATTACTTTAAAAAGTTATTCTTTTCAGTCCATGACTCTTCATTAAATAATAAAAAGTGAAAATGGAAGAAACATCCTCTCTGGCCAATTATTATTTACTGAACTGAAGGACATGGCCACCTGTTGCTATATTCAAATTTTAATTAAGGTCTTTTCCTTTTACTCTAGCTGAACTGATGCAAAGGTCTCCTCCGTCACTCATCTCTCTCGCTGGAGGGGCACCAAACCCTAACACTTTCCCATTTAAGAAGGCTACTGTTGCCATTGAACATGGAGCTCCTGTTGAGATTGGGGAAGATTTGATGAAGAGGGCTCTCCAGTACTCCGCCTCAGCAGGGTACCTGTCAAGGCAGCTTACGCTTCAAGATTCCAGCATCAAAGGATCATAAAATATTTTACTATAATAATTGATCTCTACATAAAATGTTTAACTTCAGTTTTCCTCTATACTTGATTTCAGTTTTTAAGCAGAAAGTTCTGAGCAGATGAATTAAAAAAAAATAATATTTATCAAGCCAGATCATTTCCTGGCTGTTAGTATTTGAGAATCCAGACTCCAGGATTACTAATGGGGATCGTTATGTTATGAAATAAGATACTTATTAAACGATCCTGCATTGCAGTACGTAGTTTCCACATCGTGGACTATTCATTTAGCTCTTATTTGGTAACATATATTAAAGAATAACATTTACTGTTTGCAGTTGTTAAACTGATGTATAGTATTGTCATGTTTAGTACAAGAAATTGCATATTTCAGTGAAGTTAGTTTAGCCTTCTGAACTCCCCAGCTGACAGTATTGAGTCAGCCTTGTGACAGGTTGCAAAAATACTTAGGTACCTACAGATGCACACAGAGCACACAACGAACTCAGTACTTTCTAACACTTTAATGGAACACAGCCAGTCACTTATGGACTTTCTACAAGGTCTTTCCATCTTCAAGACATACTTTTGGAAAATCCGTTTCCAAATTCCTTATTTACATGCAGCCTACTGGCAGCCAAAGCATTGCAAGCTTTGTCACTCTCCCACATTTAAGTCTGGAGAGATCATTCCTAGGAGTGGATATTGTTCAGCCTCCATCCCCATTCCATCTTTGGTAAATCATTTCTGCCCAAACCTTGCTATGATAATTTGGTGTACGGATGGTAGATGCTTATCTCTTCTGCTCTTCCATAAGATAAAAACATTTCAATTTCATCAGGTGATAGAGTGGTTATAAAATCAGCATCTAAGTATATTTTGTGACAGTCAAGAAACCAGACTCAGGACTGCATGCTAAGTTTGACTGATTTAGAGGAGCAGCCTACCCTCAGCCCATACAAGATATTAGATGCACCTTTATTTATGTTTCAGGATTCCAGAACTGTTGTCTTGGCTAAAGAATTTTCAGAGGAATCTACATAACCCCCCCACAGCCAGCTACAGTCCTGAGCAAGGACAAATGGAAATGTGCATCACAACTGGCAGCCAGGAAGGCTTATGTAAGGTAAGACCAAAACCTCCCATGTTAAACATTATTTCTTTTCAAGAGAATTGTATTTTTCAGTCAGTTTAATTATACCCAGCATAAGTGCCACTATGTAACAACTTGCAGAGTAGTTTAAATGTCTCAGGATATTATCAATACAAGATGCAATATTAAGATTTAAATTCTGTTAGTCTCATCTGTTAAGGCTACATGAATGGATACAATCAAAAAGCCTAACAGAGAATAACGCATAAGATAACATTTCATATTACTCATAAGTCACTAATAGTACCTTGATGCATTATTTGCTTTACTGTAACTCCATTCTAATTATGTTTGACTTTAAAAAATAGCCCTTTTCAATCCACTGATACTACTGCTTGGCTGATTCTTTCTGTAACTGAAGTACCGTTTCTTTTTGTATGATATTAGAAACCTGTTTTTCCATTTCAAATTGGTATTCTCTAGCTGATCATCTAGCTTCATTTAGCTTCTAAAGCAGAGTTTTAATCCATTCATTGTTTTCCTAGCAGAAAGTATAGCCAATTAAATGGTTATGGAAATGTTAACAATCAGAATTTATAATTCCGTTAGGAAGTCAAAAGTATGAAACATGTACAAGAACAGCACAATCTTTCTGAAATACCGTTCTTTCATAGGTGTTTGAAATGCTCATTAACCCTGGGGACAACGTCCTTTTGGATGCACCTACGTATTCCGGGACACTAGCAGCTGTAAGTATTCTTTAAGAACAAAATGTTGCAAATGTCATATGTGAAGTAAACAGCAAGCTGGTACATGATCTGCAGGTTTATACTCACTGTCTGTATTTACTGCAAAATGTTTCTGAGAATCAAGTTTTTAGTATGATTCCAATTAAGTTCATAAAGATAAATTCATAGAAACTTTTAAGTCTAAATGTTCCGTAACAGCTACTTCTGGAACACAAGCTCCTCTCCTGATTCGTGGTTAATTCTAGGGCTAAGATCACATTTGAGATTGGAAAGAGAAAGCCATCATGACCAAGTCAGGTTTAAAGCAATTTTATAATAAGTGGGTATTTCAACATGTCAGCACATCCATCTGAGGTATTTTATGGTCCAATTATACTGTACCTATAACAGCATAACGTGGGAATAGGCCTGAAACATCCATGTGGGAGTTAAGATGCAACTTGGTAAGAACTATACAAAATCAGTGGTGTTTACTTCTGAAAAGTAATTTAATCTGCATGTAGTTAAATATAGACTCAAAACACCTAACAATTGGAAGAAGGGTTAGGACAGATAACTATTTCAACATCGTTTCCCCTTGTGGCAAAAGCTATCTTGTTCTTGGCTGTGCTAAATTTGAGTACATCTTTCACTAAAGAAAGATACTTCATTAAGAACATATTTTCACAATTTTGTTACTGCAGCAACTTGCATTTTTAAATCTCCTTTCCTCTGTGGAAGGGAGACTGCACGCTTTTGTTAATTTTTTCCTATTTCTTTGCCTATGGCTGTCAACATGTCACTCTAGTAACATCATTTCATTCTCCCTTGTATTGCTGAACGTATCTGTTGAAAACAGATTCTTTGCCCTTTGTCAGTGAGAAGTAGCTTATAGTTCTGGCAGCTCCACTAAACTAGAGTGTAAATTACTAGTAGGAAAGTGCAGTGAACTTGTTTTGTGTTCAGAGAACGAGGAGTCCTGGCAGAGCACAGACCACAAATTCCTGAGATCCCTTTCCAAATGCAAAGGCATGTGCTTTTTCCTGCTTAAGAACAGCAATTGGTCTTTGGTGACACACTTCATTTGGCTTAACAGGGCAAATAGAAGATAGGGTGTTAAGTTTGACAAGTTACACAGCAAATTCAGGCAAACTTCCCCCTGAATCAGGAGCAAATTGAGTTTGTGACAGCTATAATAAATTCATAACTTATATGTCTAGATTTTCAGAAAGACTTTCTATCACTGAAGTTTTACCATGCCAATGACAAAATGAAGATTTTAGAATTACAGGATCATGACAATTTTGTTCCTCCTATCAACAGCTGAGACCTTTGGGTTGTAACATAATTAATGTTCCTAGTGACCAACATGGCATTATTCCAAAAGCTCTGAAAGAAATTCTGTCTACTTGGAGCCTAGAAGATGTAAAGAGCCATAGCCACAATCTCCCTAAATTCCTGTACACTATTCCAAACGGTTGTAACCCAACTGGAAACTCTCTGACCACAGAGCGCAAGAAGGAGATATACCAGGTATGTAGCTGAGGCCTGATGCATTGTGTACATAGAAGTGGATAAGTCATTTCAGTTGAGGGTACCTCATGTGTGGCCTTTTAGCCCGTTACTTATTCAGTATTTGTTTCTAGCAGAAACTTTCATGACAACTCTTCAGAGAAAGGCTATGCATTAGATAAATTGTTCTTGCAGTAGTAGCCCATTCCTGGCTGCTATCTTCCCCATGAGCTTCAAATTGGGCTTATTGCAAGTGTCCTGCATGGTATGAGCACTACATGGAGTAGACCTTCAGTTACATACCTGCTCTTGTAGTGTAGGTATGATGTTTATTGTTATAATTGCTTGATATCTAAAGCTGGCATTTGAAAGCTTCTCTTGATATGGCCTTGCATGTAGTGAATGAGCAATACGTAGGATCAGAATGTGGTCCTGGAAACAGGAGAAGAATTGAGTTGAAGAACTGTATGTAAAGAATTGAATTTACAGCATCTTTACTGAATCTTATCTTTGTATTCATTTCTTTCTTTAGCTTGCAAGAAAATACGATTTCCTTATAATAGAAGACGATCCTTACTACTTTCTTCAGTTTGAAAAGGTAATTTGTCTTCCATGCCTTAGTAGCACCTTCTTTTCCAGTCCAGAAGAGAACTACTGTATGAGCCATGGGTGTTCCTGCATGCATCTCCTTCACGTCCTGCCAAATTAATTGCAGGCCTAACAGTCATTCCATTTCCCTGCTACTTTCAGTTGCTGTCCCCTTTGAGGCATTTTATCACTTCAGTCCTGTTAATCACTACGGTTCAAATTCATCAAGCGTTATATGGTGAAAAATTTCCTTCATTAGTCAGAAAATGACAAGGACTCTACCTCCAAAACAAAACATGTACACCACTGAAGCAGCACTTCAAAGTAATAGCCTCTTAATGTTCCTTTCAGTCCAGTCTCTTCTTCCATTCAGTGCAAGACCACAGCTCCTTATCTACCATATCCCATTTCCACCCCTTTGCCTTATGGAGACCCCAAGAGAGTTCTCCCACAGACCATGGGAAGTAGTACCGGATACGCAGCCTCCCTTCTTCATATAATTTTTTTTCCCCCCCAAACGGATAATGATCTAGTGTTGAGCCATCTTCACATGTGGATCTAGAGTTGCACAGTCTGCTAAAGTACCTTAACTTCCAGAGTAAAAAGGTCTTATAAAGTAGTAAAATATTAGTAGAAGCTAAACTTTAATATTTTCCATTTTGAAATAGGATTTTTTTTTTTTTGTGGGAGGAGGCAATAAAAGCTGCTTCACTTATATGCTTATTTTCTAGTTTTATAAGGGATCCTGAGGGGAGAAGGTGTACAAGAGGTAGAATATCTGATGAGAAAAATTGTTCTGATCCCGATAAGATTTGCTCATATTGGCTTTCTTTAAGATAAAGCCAAAAGCCAGTGAACCTCATCTTAGAGATTACAGTATCTTTCTGTATAAGCCATAAAAAAAATCTTGGCAGAGAATGCATTATTTGTCTCTTCTGCTTATAGCATCATACCAAAACTTCAGCTGAGCACTTGTATGCTGAGCAGTAAGTAAAGCATCAAAAAACAAGGCTGATTTTTCGGTTGACTTTCATAGAATATCGTCATCACATCCAAGAAAGCTAGTCTGAACAATCATGTCAGCAAGTTATTCCATTTTTGTCTTTTGAATGTTCGTCTGTGAAACATTTACCATCATAAAAAAATTCCTTTAAGAAATAATAATGTCTTCTTAGTAAAGACAGTAATTCCATCATAATCTTTATTAGCAACTTGAATTTTATTTTCTATTTTTCTTCCAAGCCATGGGCTCCAACTTTCCTTTCAATGGATGTGGATGGCCGAGTTATCAGGACTGACTCTTTCTCTAAAATTCTGTCATCAGGGTAAGGCCAGTTTCAGACTGCTCAGCATTGCCTGTTGTTTCAGGCGCGAGACTAATACTACATGCAAAATGATCTGATATGCCATACTTCTCTCATTTAATACCTATGTATTTCTGAAAAATACTTTGAGATCTGCAGTTCTGCTTACTTCTCATGTCATTTCCTGGCAGTCATGTTAACTCCAGAGTCAACTTCTCTTCTAATACTGATTGTTACGCAGCTCTCCCCAGACCACCCATTCTTACAGACACCACATAGGCAAAAAGATCAAGATGCTGGATGCGAGCTGTGTTCCTGGAACTTCTAGAAACTTTGCTCCATTATTCCTTCCATTATCTTTTTCTACTTCTGTCTCTTTCCATTCCTGCCAACTCTGTTGGGCACTTCGCAGTGTAGGAGAAAAACGATGACATCGTTCTCCCACATAACCTAACTAGAGGGTTATACTGACCTCTCTTATCTTCTAGCTTTACATTTCTTTCAAGTTGTCTCCACCTGCCTGAATAACTAAGCTAGCCGTTTTACATTTCACAGAAATCAACATATTTGATTTTTAACTTGCATTTGTTTATTATTCTAATAGAGATAAGAAAGTAATGTGAATTCTACACTGGCAGCTAGTGGATTGTAGCTGCTTTCCTGAGGGAGTGAGGAGACAACGCGATGCTAAGTGTGGTTGCACTTTCAGAAGTGACACTGCAAAAAAGGCATGATGCAATTTTATCTTTGTCAAAGATGTATGAGCTTACTGGTTTTATTTTTCTACAAATAAAAACACCAGTCAGAATTTGTGAGTAAAGGTGGGTCATAAGCATTGAAGCATGACTAAGACTCTAGTTTATCAGTATAAATTCCATTTATTCTGCAGTGCTGAAAGGGAGTAAAAACCAGTAAACCTGACTTGCCAGCTCCCATCGGCTTCTGCCTAAAGCCTGAGCATCCATGATTTTTGATTATGTGAAAATCTTTTTCTTCCCTTTGATTCATGCAGCCTTTTTTGTTTCAGAGGAAAGCTTACAAATGTGGGATATGTCCTGAAGTCTCAGAACTAAGAAGCAAATATGAAAACGTGTTCTTTATACTAATTTCATGACTTTGAGACTCAGCTCAAAAGTTGCATAAACTTAGGGCTGCATTAAGACATAGCTTAACTTAAATGCATAAGCAGTTCTCAAGATACAGAGCTACTGAATGGTTATGTTTTCCCAGTTACAAATTAAACCATAATTCACACAGAGAATTAGCACACTGCATTTCTGTAGTAATTTTTTTCTCTCTTGTAGGCTGAGAATAGGCTTTCTAACAGGTCCGAAGCCTCTTATCGACAGAGTTATTCTACACATACAGGTTTCAACAATGCATACCAGTACTTTCACGCAGGCAAGTACCAAACTACCATCTGGATTGTATTTGGAAAAGACAACAGATCCCAAGTCATAGCAAACAATGATGAACAACTTTTATAGGTGCTCTGCACTTTTTCAGCTTTGTTTTTACTAAGACGCACACATTTTTGATTCTCCCTAAAGAAAGAGGGGCCACTGCAGCTTGAGGAAATCTTAATCCATGGAAAGCACCACTGCTTCAATTAATATGCCATTAACCCTAGGATTTCAAGAATCAAGATGTAAAATAGGTCACTGGAGTTGTATGTCTTGCCAGTACGTTCATTTGAAAAAAAACTCAATTTAAAGCACATATTGGAATTACCTGGTTTCTTTTCCATTTTTAATCATATTTAGTAGTTAGGTCAATACTGGCAGCCAATAGAGAGGTCACAAAACAGTCGTCTAACTAGATCCTCTTTATAGTCAGCAGTAAGAAAAGACGACGTTAAGCACATCTGGATATGCTTCCATTTTCCAGCTCCATTAGTTCATCATAGAGGCAGCATTAGAGCAGGGAGGCTAATATACAGAGAAGACCCATCTCTAAAGTGATGTGCGTTTTCCTCCCTTTTTCTCTCAGATTCCTTTATTTAGCTCTCCGTCCATTCCTTCCCCTCCCCACCTTCCTAAGATTGGCATAGTCCTCAGAGACAGCTGTAGCATGGACTGTAACAATCTGTTGATCCTGCCACCTTTGTTAAGTAAAGGGCCCCAAGAGACCCTGCATGCAGTTTCTTGCCCTTGTGGAACTCTGTGTAAGATATAGGGCTATAAAGCTTTGCTTGATGGTTGAGGAAGCGTCCTGTTTAAAATACAGTACTGATGGTGTGTTTTATTTCTTTAGATTATGATATCACAGCTTCTTCAGCAATGGGGAGAAAAGGGTTTCTTGGAGCATATAGACAGGTAGGATCATGTCGTATACCAAATGCCATCATCTATCATTTTGCATGTTTTCTGCTTTTTGCTACTTACAGCAAACATTCTTTGCAGTAAACAGGTCAGAGGAGCTACATCAGTTTAAAGTAGGTATAAGTAGTATTAGACCAAATGGATAAGAAAGCTTACAAGGACTGAGTATTCATGTAAGATTCCTGAAGGACCTCAGTGGGAAATGGCAGAAACAGGGGTCGAAGCATGTGAGCTACCACTACAGATTGGCAGCATGTCAGTCCTCTCGCACAGTGGCTATGCAACATCTGAAAAGTGCCAAAGAGAAGCCTGCAAGCTACAGGACAGTGAGCGTAGCCTTCATCCTTCATAAAGTGGAAAGGTTAAAGCAAAGAGTATGATCATCGAGCCCATAATCAATTGAGAAAGAGTCAGCATGGCTTTCATAAAGAGAAATCTTGCCTCGCTAACTTGGCAAGGATTTACCCTCTAACATCCCTAATCCAATGGTTGTACATGCTGGAGAAATACAAGTAGAAAGAATTACAGAAAGCAGCCAGGCTCACCTGCTGTCCCTAAACATTGCCTTTATCTATTGCCACTCTTGGAGACACAACACTAGGCTAAGACAGACCACTGGTCTGACCCAGCAAGGCATTTCTTATGTAGTGACCAACACACATTTGTATTTCATTTACTACAGTAGAGGTGCATAGTTTCTCTTAAGTAGTTATGATTCACTTCAAATGAGGCACTGGAATTCCACACTTCCCACATTACTGGGCAGCAAGTCACACTCTGCAGAGGCCTGTTACAGGAGCATGGCAACAGCATGAAAAAAATTCTTGTATTTGACTGTAACAGCAGCCACTTTTATCCCCAACCACCTGCCTGCCTGTTGTCTTTACTGTAAGCACTATTATCTAAAAAAAACCCAAAGACTGGCTGATGTCCTGGCTTTGATTTGCTTTAGGTATCACAGCATACACATCAAAAGCAGGAACACAGAAATAGATTTTGCAGAGGAGCTCAGACCACACATTAGCTCGTCTTTGAGCAATTAGAGAAATACATCCTAAACACATCCCTTAACCCACCTTGTGTTTCTTGCAGGTAGGCACCTATTCTTGAGCTAAAAGGACTTTCTTCTTGTTGAGCACAATGAAAACAGTGCCACAGTAGGCTGGCTCCAAGCCTTTATAACCTTCTAGACTCCTTTGTCAGGTGACTTGTTGATTAGGTTCAACAGGTGATTTCAATGATGGGTAAGGTTGGTTTGTTGGCCTGTGATTCTGACTAGGAGCTAGTGTACTGTTTGGAGCATGCACATTCTTGTGAAAGTTCTGCCTCACTAGCACTTATGATTTCACTCCATCATGGAAATAAAATAATAACAGAAAAGGCAAAAAACTCACCAAAGAATTTGTGGTGTGGTAAAACTGTATAAGTGATTTATCATCTCATGCAGAATGTAACTGCATAGAGTAGTAGACTATATTAGCTTTTGGTGGTGTCAGAATTTGTCTATGAATTATGTAAAATATATACAGAAATAAAAGCTACTGGTTCAGAGAGTGTCAAAAAAAGAACATTGTAAATGTAAAATTATCCAAATTGTTTAGTATGGTTTCTCAATAGCGAAGAGAATACTTTTGCCTCTGATTTATGAAGTCCATCTCAGGCACTTCTCTTGAGTCTACTGCTGCAGAATCACAGCTGTAGCAGTTTATGTCAGCACAATGAGTCACTGCACAAGACTTGTTCCTGTTGGAACTTGGGCTATGCTCCTTTCTGCTAGTAAGGAAGTGCATTATTTGGAAGTTTTGCTTAAGTTGTGAGGGAGATAGGTTCAAAGGTTTAGAACAGAGGAAGCTGTCAATAGTCATGACAGGTTTATCAAATGAGTTGCTTTTTACCTTGTGAAATGTCTTTTCCACGTACACCTATTACACAATTTCAATCCAAATGCACATATATGGAGTATGTGCTTTTGCACATGCATAGGTCCTTCATTTTCTTCTGTATGCCTTTTCTGTCTCATATGTACTGCTAGAAGGGCTTGTATCCACTGATGTGATGGACAGAAAGAACATAACGTATAGAGAGTTAATAGTGCACTTTCCATTGCACATGTGAAGCTTAAAAAACAGGTGCAAAGGCAGTTCCTCCTTCTGACTGATCTGTGCTTCACTGGAGGCACACTGAAGCATTCAAGACTCACCAGGTACATATACAAAGTTACATATACACAGTAAACTGTACTGTGTCCATCTAGGATGTGCTCTTATTTCCACTGAATGTTCACTCTGATTATTCAAGTACAGAAGCTTTGTTTCTGCCTTTGGAGACAGAGGGAATCTTTAGTGCTATGGGATCGTGACTTCCAATTGATTATTTTCCTTCAGGGTGGTGGAGTTCTACAGAACCCAGCGGGATGCAATGCTTATTGCTGCTGACAAGTGGTTAAAAGGTCAGTGAGTGCAACACAGCTAATTACTTGGATTTTTTTCTAGCTATTTATCATCTTCATATTCAAGAAAAATTGCTATAACGTTCAACCCCTGACTGAAGAGATAGATAAGCGCTATGAGCAAATCAATGGCGTTAAATATTAAGCTTATGACAAATTATTTAGTGCCCTTGTTTTCATGCTTATCTGAAATGGAACAAGGAGACAGCGATGAGAAAAAAGCCCACTACATTACTGTATAAAGCAGTTTTACAAAGGATGTGTATTTCAGTCCACTATGTTCTTATACATTTTCTTTAAATTCTCTGTCTGAAATAGCCAGATTTAGTAGACTAAATTTAAAAGAAGATGTAAATGATCCACATAATAGCAATGATAATCATTTTTTTGTCAGATATTAATTTCAAATGTCCCCTTCCATGGTTAATCACAGAGCACTGAAAGAATCTAATCAACAATAACACAGTTGGTGCCTCACTCCTTTTAGTGAGTCTAGCATGGAATCAACAATAACTGTTTATGAACTGACCACCTGCCTGGTGGGATATGGGTACCTGAGCACCGCACAATCCTTAATGTACTTAGTCTTGCTAATTCAAGGTTTTCAGATAAGAAATATTTCCTCTTTTTCTATATGACTCTAAGTGACTCGTGATCTAGGCCCTCTTTGTCTCAGTTCCCCAAGTATAAAAAGAGTATAATAGCACTGGGCTACCTTAAGGTGGATTGTGAGAATATATTCATATGTAAAAACACATACTGTAGAATATAGGAGCTATATAAGTATGGAAGATTGACTTTTATTTTGTAGATATGTAATGGTTTACTATATCAAGAGCTGGAGAAGATGGCAAGTCAAATAAATAGCTACTTCAAAAAACATATCTCAAAACAAATAAAGAATTTCTTCTAGGTAAACGAAAGGTATACAGTAAGTTGGCATATATATCTAAGATATAAATCCTTTCCAAGACCTCTCATGCTCCTCATAACTCCCAGGCTCTTCCTTTCTTCAGGAAAAAAACTATAATCATTTTAATTTAAAAGAAAACAAGTACTTCCTACAGGTTTGTGCTTTGCAACATATTGATAGGCCACATGATACTAGGAGAAATTGCATTAGAAGAATGATTTTGGACCCTTTGGAGAAGATGTCAACTTGATCAGAAAATAATCAACAACTTCAGTTTGTTAATCTCTGGGCATTCTGTAGTTCAGAGCAATCACTTTCAAACTTCCACACTTTACTGTACTAGTGCAGTAAGCCCAGACAGATTTGATTGGGGTACTTTAAATTCAGCAAGTGGCATCCTGGCTCCGTGGCCATATTCCTTTTGAGCTCACTGGAGCAACAGATCTACGAGATCACTGAATCTATCATGTACTACTTACAGGTGGGGCAGCAGTCTCTTTTCTTGATTCCCCTCTTTCCTCTCTCTCCAGGCTTGGCAGAATGGCACCCTCCTGCTGCAGGCATGTTCTTATGGATCAAAATTAAGGGAGTTTCTGATACACAGCAGCTGATCATGGAAAAAGCTTTGCAGAAGGAAGTATGAACTATGGCTTAATGGCTTCTGATGTTAAAATGGAACGAGGGAAAGATGAAACAAATTTGCCATATCTATCTGTGTGCCCATATACATGCTTATATGAAAAAGGGGAAACTTGTTGTGCACAATCACTAAGTCTGCAGTTTTTTGTCAAGCATGGTCACATAGTGTAGTGACTCATTAATGAAATACTTTCATGTCTGTATTCAAATGTTGATATCTGCTTGCTTTTTATCCCATTATAATGTATAGTATAATACGTAATGTATATAGTAATATATATATAATATTGAGAGAGAGAGAGAGATACACATAATCAATGAGGGCTATCCACTGTATCTCTTCAGTAGGAGAAATTAAATGTGATTTAATTTCCACAATTTGTAAGAGTCAACACTATGTACTGCAGAAACTACATCCCACCTCACAGGTACATTGTGATGATAAGCTAGACCTAACCTGTGGCTTTTACACACCCATTGCGTTGTTACAAAAAGTCTTCATTCCAGGTTTTATATTTTTGGCTTCTCTTTTTGAGTAGATTAAATATATTAAGCCATATTTTGAAAACAGTGTTTCAGTAATGAGCCTTCTCAGTTTTAATTTAACATTGTATAAAGGAATGTTTGTAACTGAGTAATTAATAAATTTTTCTTAGGTGTTACTGGTTCCCGGAGGAGCATTCAATATTGATAGTTCAGAGCCTAGTTCTTATGTCAGAGCCTCCTTCTCCCTGTCTTCCCCAGCCCAGATGGATCAAGTAAGCGGGATGAGGGTTTTCTACATTCTTCTGAAGAACAGCTTCTCACATAACAATGCTCCCTTATTTTCACTTACTTCTCATTATGTGTTTTTTTGTTTGTTAGTGTATTTGTTTTAGTAATCCTGGGCGGTTAAGCAGTATTCTTGAAGCAATATTAGCTGCTGCTCTAGGCAAGATACTCATATCCAAATGACTTGAAAGGTACCACATTTTTAGGACCAATTCATTTTCTTCTGTGTCCCAGACTTGCAGACTTTCTCACACTTCATCATGACAGACATTATTCCAAAAGGCTTTACTGAAGTCAGAGTAGGTTTGGCTACTTGCTTGAGCACTAGCAGGAGCAGACACCATGTATCTTTGTTTTACAGACTTTCCATTCCTCACATGGAATAACCTGAAATGTATGTGCATGTTGTCAATCGTTATTAAGAAGGAATATTTTTTTTCTTCATACAGTACACATAAGTGCTGTATTTCATAACTCAGGAACTAATCTTCTGTTTATTTTGCAACATTTTGGATGTTATTTGGCTGTATCTGTAAAATCACTGGGAGAAGGACTATGAGACAGTTATCTGTGCAGATGTTACACCCCTTTGATTCAGGCTTTTGAAACAATTCACAATTTTTAGCTGTACTTTCATTTAGTTGTGAAGGTTTGTAACAGATGTGTGTTTCTGTTGCCTATTTCTTCTGTAATTATTGAAATAAATTCATAACCGTACTATTGATCATCAAATTGTATCTTGCTGACATTGTACTTTTATATGTTTCCCCCTTCAACTATTCTCCCTTTTCTTATGCTTTTGAAGATTCTGGCCCCTTATATTGATGTACAGTTATAAGAGATACTCTTCCAGAGCTCATTAATTGTATTAAAAATACAGTGCTTTAGTTGCATCTGAACTCTGGATAACCTTTGAATATCAATATATGTAGTCTCTTTCAGAAAATTCTACCTTTTTGTTTCTGATAGAGGAGTGGAAGCTCTGTCCAACCACAGTGTGCTTCAAAGCCCATACAAGTTGTCAAAACCAATAAAGTAAAACAGGAAATATCAGTAGAATTTTGCAGTATAAAATACTGAGTTCATCTATGGTTAGGTTAGTTTTAGTAGTTTTACAGATTAAATATATTGCCTGTTTAAGGAATGCTGGAATATAAATGTGAACCATCTTTTGTGTCATTGCAGGCTTTCAAGAGACTGGCTGACCTTATAAAGGAAGCTATATGAAAAGGCTAAATAGATCTTTTTCATCAATCAAAATCATCTCCAGAAAACACTTATTAACATTTGGATTTCATCAGAACACTTTAAAAGCAAGTAGAATACAGTGGATGTTCCCTTAGATGGTACCAGTGCTTGGATTCCAAACTTAGATAATCAGCATCCAAAAAAAGGTTTGTAGAGAACGTAGACATGACTACTTTAATTATTACAACATACAACTTTTTGTGACGGTAATACCATACAAAGAAAAGACATAGACTACTGTCGAGACTTCATTGCGAGTATTTCATATTTTAAGGTGTACAAGAACAACAAAGTGAGAAACAGCCAATACTGAGGTGTGGTTTCCACAGTTTATTTTTTCAAACGTTTTTAAAATTGTTTATTTTGAGAGACTCTTGAGTGAATTTCAAAAATTACTCCAAAAATATTAACTAATTAATTAATATTAACTTATTTTAATTAACTAATTAATATTAGTTAATGTTTAGAAGTAATTTCTTTTCACTTTGTGATCGGTAGATTTTTTCATGAAAAAACGATATTCCTTTTATATATTAGCTACATTCAAGTAGCTAATGTTATGACTTGATCTCAAGTATTTAATTAAGCTAGGCTAAGAGAAGTCTCTCAGGACCACATTTGGAGTCATTTGATTTGACAGAAAGTTGTGGCACATTTGTTCTTTGCATTCATTGTTTCAGCTTAAAAAATAGAAATGTAAGAGTGAAAAAGAATTTGCTTTAATTTTTTGACAGGACTTTGCATTACTAAATTGATTCCAATTCAGAAACTTCAAAAATACTCAAAGGTTTCCAGTCAAATCTATGGTTTCATTTGAATTGATCTTTTGTTATTTCTTGGACTTTTATTTTGTTTCCTGTTTTGGCCAGGAAACAGGGAAGTCAGGTACTTAGGAAGCTGCACCTGAGGTCATCTGAGACATTGTTTCTTAATCCTAAGTGAAATATTTCTCCAACACTTTATGCTGGAATTGTTTTTGTGTGTGTGTCACTTTCCTTCTTGTCCTACTGCTTTATTTGGCCTCTGGGTTTGAAGATTTGAAGATCAATATTTAGTGTTACTATAGTTTAATTTTATTAATTTTGTCAGGTTACACTGATGTAAGGACAATAAAAATTTGAACCTGATCCAGCAAAATTAGGCTGTGACTACAAACAAAATTGTTTGACCTAAGGTCCTTTGCATGGGTTTTGCAGCTTATTTCCTAGTTTTTAAAAGGTTTTTTTGATTGTTCGCTTCCATTTCAGTCTAGGAATAATTATTCTGTAGCAAGGTTAGAAAATCTCTGGTATGCACAGGCATGTGTATGTGCTAATAGAACTGCTCACGGCTCCCTTACTTAAGCATAGACATCTTTTGAACAGAAAGCCTAAGTAACTGAACAGGGGACATGGTGGAATGGACAATGATACTATCAGATGTACAAAGCAAGCAAAATGAAAAAAAATAAAGAAATGTTCTGATCTCTAATGCCTTGTTTTTATCATCCCAAGCATTAGATACTTGCCAACAGGCACAAAGCTTTCAGAAAGTTATATCTGTTCAGATTCTCCAGTGCTCCACATCTTACACAGTGACATAAGTTTTTTTTTTTACTTTTTGGATAAAAGCGCTGTAGTTTATCACCAGTAGCATGTCCATGTTTCACTCCAGTCCTCTGTGTCAGCAGGAGCAGGGCTGCAGGGGAGGCCAGGCCACTGGGCAGGGCCCCCGATACAGCCATGGCCCCGCAGGGCCCAAACAGGCTGAGCAGAGCAGGGCCAGCGGCTGCAGCCAGGCCGAGGCAGGAAAAGCCATGAGACCGCCATGGCCAGGGTCAGGTGCGGACGAGTGCTGGGGCGGCCCCAGCGCTAGGCTGAGCCGCTGAGTCCACGGTTCAGGCCCAGCGAGGCCTCCTGCAGCCATTCTCCTGCTCTCCCCGGCCCCGGCAGCCCAAGCCAAAGGCATGGTGCCCAGATGGTCTCTGAAGTTGCAAGTTCTTTGGGAAAAAAAAAACCTGTCATTTTTTTACACTTTTTGATGTGCTGATGGAATCCAAACTAGTAGGGTCCTCCATACATTGATGCTTAGCAGCAAATTTGTCAGTTTTCAACCTTGTTTCTTAACTTGTTTCTTAAATGTAGTAATTTTGAAAGGCCAGATTTTGCTATCATCAGTAAAGCAAAAACATGAATTTTCATTTCATGTTCAATTTAGAAAAAACATTTTATACAACAAAATGAGTTAACATAGCTGTTTAATTAAAATAAGATAGTTCTTATGCTTTACAGAGGAATAAACGTAAGTGTTATATAGGACTGGTTTCTGTTCTTGGGCAAATACTGTCGTCATTGTTAAACCAGACTTAGAATTAGAAAAATGTAATTGAAATATCAATATTAAGCAAGCTTTATGAGAGCAATGTGTTGAATAATACACTTCTAAACTTTCAAAGATCTAAACGTTAATTTAGTTGAATGTAAGCAAAACGCAATTCCATTTGCTGCACATTAGATCCTCTTACAATCAGGTAATTTAATTTAGAGAGAGTTAGACTTTTTTCCCTGACTGTGGTGAAACATCTGAAATGAAATTAATTTTCTGAACAATACAAATTGAACAATGACAGTGAAATCTTACATGCACATGTTCTTTCCCTGTACCTCTTAAAATGCAGTTTCTAGTTGGCCTGGGACAGAGCGTTCATTGTGATTAAAGGTTGCTGGAGGAAGCCATCTGGAGACAAAAGGAAAGTGCCAAACAACAGGGTCATGTAGATAAGAAATGATGGACAGAGAGCCAGAGGTAGACCGCATCTAAAAACTCATTTCTGAGTAGTGCAGTACTCACACTTCCAGTTGTACTTACAGCTTGGTTCTACTGGAATTTCAGGCCTTTGCTAGGTGAAAAACCTCTAGAAGTTCTGGACAAAGCACCACTGCACATGACCCAAGCAATGCTACAGCACAAGGGAAGTAAATCGCAACCCGTCCTACACACATCAGATTTGTTGTACACATTTAGGTTTATTGTATGATGTGTCACATTTTTGCTTTCAGAGTTGTACAGACTTAGCAAGGAGAGGCAGTTCTCCCCTTCAGTGGATATCTGTAAATACTAACTATAGTAACTTCAACATAATTCCTAAATTTCTGCATAAACCATTTCCACAATTTTTAGGTCCACACAGGCCATTTATCTGGGAAGGAAAATATAAAAATTTATCTGAAGCAAACTGATCCCTTTACTTCAAAACAAGAGCCTTCTTGCATAAAGTTATGATTAATAATTGAGGGGAAAAAAGGATTGTTAGGAGGAAGTTCATTAGAAGAGAAAATATATGTGTGTATACTACTTGACAGATGTTATTTTAAACCATGAACATACAGAGAATTATTTCATCTAATTGAATGTAAATCCTGAGCATTCGTGGTGCCGTCCAAGAATTTAGAGGAGTTTCTGTGCAAAACACTTGGTTTAATTTTGGGGGGAGTTCCCCTAAATTCTGAACTTCTTTTGTTTTAAACTTTGTTCTGTAATAATTGTTTACTCTATGTGAAACCTTGTGGTTTACAGATCTGCAGTATTTTCAGTTTTGCCATGGAAATCTGGATTCTAATACACTGGGGTAAATATTAAAAGAACTGCATGGAACTGTGAGAATTCATGTTCCAATGTCTCGGGGTTTTTATTACTTAATAGCAGTTTTTGAGCACACTCCACGGTAGCCTTTGTCTTAGATGGGAACAATGACCACAGTGTTTGAACTGTAATGATTCTGAATGAGAAGAACTCTGTGAACACAAAGAAACATACTTTCATTCTTCTAACATTGCTACTAGGAACAGTAATACCTCACCTTTCTTATAATGGCTGCAGAAGTTATTGTGCTGTTACGTAAAGCTCATATATTACTACTGAAAAAGGATAAAGACCTTTTTGAATCTCTCTGAAAACGAATAGGCCAGAAGTGTGTCGACAAATTTGACTAGTGCTAGAAGATCCCATGTTAGCTGTACAGACTTTGGAGAAAAGTCTCAAAATTGTATTTTCTTTTTATTACCAACTTACATTAAGTCATATCTGTATTGATACTGCAAATGAATATGCCATGATGTGACCTGGAAAAAATTAACGTGAAGATATTTCAGCTTCTTGACTTAGGTAGAGCTTTGAACAGTACCTTTATGTTTGGCTAATAATGAACTTTGAACCTAAAAGTTTTATCAGAGGAGTTTCTTGCACTTTCCTCAAAAAAAAATCAAACATTAACAGAGGAAGAATGCCTGACCCAGGAGTTTGGTTCCTCCATTTTGAATCCTGGAATTTTTAATCATATCCAATTTGGCATGCCAGCCCTAAAATCCCTCTGATACCCAGATGTGTTAGCCGATAGGAAACTCAGTGTTCTCTGTGCACATCACACCAGCCTGTAACCACTAAGCACATGATGGAGAGTCTGCGTGGTGCCATACTACTGCAATAACCCTCAGAAGACAGTGGGAGTCATGCCCTCAAATAGTCATGGGCAACAGCCCTGGAGAAAGGAGTATCAGAAAAGAAAATTATGACTGTCTGGACTGTAGACCTAGAATCACTTTCTATAAAAACAAACTGTATTTTTTGTAGAAATGAGAAGGTGGAGAGGGTTTTTGGGGGGAGGGGTTCAACTTGTTGCTTCACTTAAATCCAGAAATCTGCTTATTTATGTCATCAGCATGAATTATCACCAGTTTAGTTCACGTAAAACTACTTCAGGAAAACCCTATCCAATCTGGCTCCTGAGTGAATACCCAATCTACTTGGTACAACATGAACCGTTCTGTTGTGTTTAGTTAGGATAATTGAGCAGAAGGCAGAACATCTCTTGCTGTGGAACAGATAGCAAAGATTGAATTTAGCTGTCACGTTGAGTAGTTTGTTTGCTTCCTATTTTGTAGCCACCGGAACGCAAAAACAATTTGAAACATTGGATATTTTTATGTTCATGTCTTTAAATTAAAATTGGCAGTGCATTTAGTGAAAGCCAACACCTAACAAAATTTAATAGGGCAAATTGATCCTTATAGCTGATTTGTTAGCTGATGTTTATGAAGTTGCACTAGTGATAAAGTAGTTATTCTAGAAGAGGTTTTTGGACTTACATCCCTATTTATGACTTCTGTTTCTGTTCAGAACAGAATTATTCTTTTGCGTACACACACACACACACACACACGTATATTTTAGCCTATAGCTTAGGCTTAAAGCCAGGAATTTAGCGAATATGATGCCAATCTACAATAAGAGGGTTGTCTAGAATTATTTGTTCAGAATAATTCTGAACAAATTATTATTATTTATGTTCAGAATTCTGACAAGACAGAATGATTTTACTGCATTAGAGGGAATGCTCTTTCAATCAGATAGTGTATAAT